ATCATATTTGTGCCTCTAGTAATTAGTAGTCCCAAGGTTAGCAGAATCACTAGAGAGCGGCTCCTGCTTTATTATTGGCAGGAATTATATATATATTTCAAGAAAATCAGGTCATTGGAAAGTACAATAACCTGGCTTGTGGAAAATTCAAAATAAGTTGTAGTTCTTCTGTCACATATGACATTTCAGTCTGTAAATATCACATGACAGTCAGAAAATATGGGTAGCCCTCACCTCATTGAGGAATGTGTCACTGAGCATGAAATGCCAATAACTATATCCCAGGAGAATGTTTAAACAGTTTCAGACAACATCACAGGGAAGAAATGCCAAGATTTGTGGAACATTGATCTTTGCCTGGGTTCCAGGCCCTGAAAAGGTATTAAGCATAAATTCTCTAGAGGCTGAGATCCCTATTTGGACCTATTATACTAAAAAAAAAATTTTAAGTCAGCACAAAAATATACTTGTTCTTTTACACAATGATGTTTACTCTTAAAGAGGCATATGATTTTGAGGGTTTTTTTAGTATTGAAAATGAACTTGTACTTATTCAAATATATTCATAATTAGTTAAATGAGCCTTACTTTTTAAAAATCATTATATTTTAGTAACTTCATGTAGAAAATTTGAAAGACTTAAAAAAATTAAGCTTAAAAAGGTTAAGTCATCCATGAAATTTAGTATTAATATTCAGATATGTGGTATTAATATTTTTATTTTTCTCATCTTTTTATCAAGCCTATGGAGAAATATGCACATTTTTATGTACATGCTGGTATTATACTGCATACATTTTTCATAATATTTTCATATTATTAAATATTCTTTTAACATTTTTAGACTATATGTATTCTACCATATGGTCATAGCTTTAGTTAACTTTCTATTTTTAGACACTTATGTTATTTCCACTTACATATATTCTTATATATATTTCTCTGATTATCTTTTTGGGATGAATTCTCAAAAGTAAATAGATCAAGGAATAATCACATTAAAAAAATTTTTTTAATACATGTTGCTATACATTGCCAGTAATATACTAAGGGGCACATTTCCCAGGAGCTTCCCTAACACTGCCAATGTCTCTTTTAATGTGGCCAACTCTTCCCAAAATAATCAAATGAAAGCTATCTTTGGATATGCTTCACTGTTGTTCAGCCTTAGTCACATCTCAGGGTGTCATGTGGTTAGTTTCTTAGCAATTTCTCCTTCAGTTTCTTTCTAAACTAAATACAACATAGTGAATAAAAAGATCCATTCCTTTCCATTAATGTGTAAAAATGTTCTTTCCAGCATTTTTACATATTAATACAAATATATAATTTTTCCTTTGGAGTGTGTAGATGTTACTAGTGTTTGTTCTCCTATTTCTGAAAAAGTTTGAAAAAAATCCTTCTTTATTACCTTCATATTTGGTTTTTTTTTGTTTGTTTTTTTTTCCTCTCTCACTCTTTTGACTGAGAAAACAAATTTTAAAATCCTGGAACTTGTATAAGAGATATTTTTGAATTAAATCTATTGCTACCAATGTAAATTATTTCAGAGAACAGCAAGATAAATGGGCTCAATAGTATGATTTTTTGCATTATTACCATCACAATCAATGCATTTTTATTAATGACCCAACATGTATGGAGCATGGTGCTAAATCCTACGGATGAAAAAAAGGAGGAAGGAACAATTCTTATCTTCAGTTGATTTATTCACTAGTTGAGAATGATGGTGCATATATAAAAAAGATAAATTCTAATAAACACTAGCATACCCAGTTGCCCAATGAAGTCAGCCAGTCAGTGCCCTTAGAGTTCAGAAAAGAGATTAGTAAACTTTAGGGTAGTCACCTTTAAGAGGATTTGACCACATTTTGAAGAAGAATTCAAATTCTGAGAAGAGAAGCTGTTCCAAGGGGGGGTTACAGTGCTCACAAAGGTGAGAATGCACATGACATTTTCAGAGTAAAAATAACCTGTGAGTCAGCCAGAGCAGTTTATTCAGTCTTAGAGTAGGATAAAAATCTTAATGTTTGGCTAGCCTTGGCTATCTAGATTAGCAGTATGGGCCTAAGAGAGGCCCGTTGGAAATAGAAAATAATTTAATGTTTTATAAGAAGTGAATTTAGAAACAATTTGGGGGGAGGCACCCTGGGTGGTTCAGTCGGTTGAGCATCTGACTTTGGTTCAGGTCACGATCTATAGGTTCATGAGTTCAAGCCCCACATCAGGCTCAACCTCATTGCTGTCACCCTGTCAGCGCGGAGCCTGCTTTGGATCCTCTGTCCCCCTCTCTCTGCCCCTCTCCCACTTGTACTCTCCCCAAAATAAATAGACATTTAATAAAGAAATAAGTTAGGGAAATTTATAAGGTATTACTATGAAAAATATTAGTACCAACATGAGATAATTATGGCCTAGACTAGCTAGTTCCAAAAGAAACTAAAAACAGGCATGCTAGAGTCATGAGAATAGAAAAGTCAACCAAACTTGGCAACTGATTATATATAAAGATGAGACTACTAGTAACTTATTATTCAACTGTACTTGTATCAGGGATTTATAATGAATGAGCCTGCCCTCAGCCAAGTACATAATATAGAACCCCACTGAGAAGAGTTTCATAAACTCTACAGGAGCCTACGAAGTAGTTGAAACAGCTTTCCAGGTAAATCAGCCCTTGAGTTGTGACTTCAAAGATGAATTGAATTTTGCCCGATGGAAAAGGGGTGGAAATTCAATGAAGAGGGCAAAAGAGAAGGAAAATATGACTCAAAACTTTAGATCTACATGATTGAAGACAGATAATAACACAGACCATAATAGAAAAGTCTAGTAGTAGAGATGTTTTAGTTGGAAAGATAATTTTGTTTAGACATTCTTCAAAAAAATATGTAGAGCGTGTTCACCAATCTGGAGGCATTTGGGACATCTCCGTGAGCAAAACAGGAAAAAATTTCTGCTTTCATGGAGTTTACATTCTAGTATATGGAAATAAATACACAATAGTGTTCACCAAGGAGTTTTCTTTCATTGTGATGTTTGTTTCTAATATTTCTTTCTCTGCTTTCATTAGTATCAATAATATAAAATACACACACAAAAAAAAGCATGGGTGACTAGTATCTAACTTAAGCCATCACTTAGGCAGCAAAATGTTCCAAGTAACTCTTTTCTCCAAGACTTCAAACTGTCCTCAAACTGACCTTGATGTCTACAAGCTTCAGACAAATGGCTTAGTAATTGAGAGCAATAAATTAGAATCAATCACATTTAGTTAGGAGAAAGTAGTCTAAGTGTGCTAAAACAAGCTGACCTTCTCCTAGCTTTGCATTTTTATTACACTCTTTCTGCTCTTCACCTGAGCTTGATGTTATGCTGGGATCTTTTGACCTTAGCAATACTTCAGGAGATGTATCTGGACTACAATTCTTACTAGGTCTTACTGCTAGATCCTTCAAAGGGAGAAAATTATAGGAAAAGTATTTGCAGGTCAGAAATAAGGGTTTTGAGTGACTAACCTTGGAAGTGAAATTTTTGTTGGAATTAAAATGCTCAGTTTAACTTAAGAAAAACTATGTAAAACATTACATTTATGCATTACATTTCAAACTGCTATCAAGGACAGTCGAAAGATATTAAGCCAGTGTTTCTTGACACTGTAGCTGCATAGTATTCATTTCACCCTTCAATAACCTAATATGCTGAAAAGAGACTGGACATTAAAGACTTTAAAAGTTTCCTGATGGGGCACCTGAGTGGCTCAGTTGGTTAAGCATCCGACTTCGGCTCAGGTCATGATCTCACGGTTTGTGAGCCTGAGCCCTGTATCAGGCTCTGAGCTGTTAGCCTGCTTCAGATTCTGTGTCTCCCTCTCTCTCTGCCCCTCCCATGCTCACCCTCCATCTCTCTCTATCTCTCAAAAATAAATAAACCTTAAAAATTTTTTAAATAAATAAATAAATAAAAGGTTTCCTGATCTCCATAGTATTGGGAGCCAATCTTCAGAACTCTGTCCTGATGGTTGAAAGAATTCAGTTTGTTTCCATACAAAAAGATTTTTTGCTTTTATCTGTTTATTTATGACCTTGTTTTTTCAGTCAATTACTGTAAGTAGTTCCTTCAAGTTTTAAATTATGCATATTGATTTTTTTCCAAAAAACATATTAATTTAAAATTAATTTTTCTCACCAAAGCCCCAGTTATATCTAATCATGTCAAAGCAGTATGTCAAAATCATATCAAAACGGTATGGTGCCAAAAGTTATCTCCAGGCACTTCCCAGGAGCTTGGAGATAATTGAATCTAATTCTTCTGATAGAACACGATAATGGCAGTCTGAGGAGCCCACTTGAGGATTAATTGTTTTGGGAATAGACTTTCAAATGCTAAATACTTTCATAAATTAAGTTCAGTAACAAACATTTATTAAGTGTCTAATGGGTGCTTAATCTTATAACAGATAAAAGCAGTCCAAAAATGAATAAGGCACAGTTTACCCTCAAGAACTTCATATCCTAGTAATATTTAGTCTTATTAAATTATTGTTGTTTATTTATTGTAAGGTACTTTAGATTTATGGTTTTTCATTATGACCTGGCCAAAACTCATTTAAATATATTATATACTATTTTTAATTATATAAGCCATCAGGTCTCCGGCTGGTAATAATTTACTTAACAAAATGTATGGCAAAGATTTTCGTACACTTCAGAAAGATCTTAGTTATCCTACAATCCTTTATAGACAAGAAAGCTAGCAATTTTGACTTAATTCCAAGTTTCCAAGAATATCTAGTTGAAAGGGCATTTTACTGCAGTTCACACGAGAGTGCAGAATGTGGAAGAATAATAATTTGGTGCTAATAATCATCTTAATTGATTGTGAGATTATTATTTTATCTTACGTGCTGGGGGTGGAATTCATTCTCTTTTCTCCCTGACATTTATCATGAATTATTCCATACAATTAATAGCATAACAGATATGTATACTTTGTATTAGTTTTCCAGATCAAGAAATTCGTACAGTGGCAGTTCAACAATTAGACAACCTCTTGAATGATGAACTACTAGAATATCTCCCACAACTAGTTCAGGTAAGAACAGCAGAGCTGCCAAAGGATTCCAGAATTTTAACTAATAATTTTCTAAAAAGAGTTTCCAGGGCACCTGAGTGGCTCAGTCAGTTAAGTGCCCAACTTCATCTCAGGTCATGATCTCATGGTTCATGATTTCAAGCCCCACATCGAGCTCTGTGCTGACAGCTCAGAGCCTGTATCCTGCTTTGGATTCTATGTCTCCCTCTCTCTCTGCCCCTTTCCACTTAATGCTCTGTCTGCCTTTGGCTCAAAAATGAATAAACATTAAAAAAAAATTTTTAAGTATTTCCAATAAGTCAGCAATACCCAGGAGCTAAACTACAGTTCATGTGTCAACATGAGTAACATAGAAATTCTTTAGCCAAAATTGGTAGTTACAAAAAAGTGTCTAAAAGACATAAAAAAAATTTTTTTAAAGAACTTCACTTATTAATTAGAACTAGGGGGAAGAAATGGAAATGCTGGCGATGAAATCTTTTCATCTATGTAGAACAATTAAAAATTAATCAAATAATGTTATGTGAAAAATAGTCTTTTACTAGGCAGCTCCTCATAATATATGGGTTTCTTGCCTTTCCCGTAGGATGTTCTAACATTGATTATAAATCTATAAAAGTAGTTTTATAAGATAATACCCTAATTCTGCCAACAGATACTACATTTTAGCTATAACATTAAATATGAGAATGTTGGAGTAATTTCAGAAAATAATATAAATTTATATAGAAATATGAACAAAGACTGATTTAGTCCGAATATTTTAAATTATAAACAACTGTACATCTTACAAATGACCATGTAATACCCTAACTAAAAAACAGAATTTTTTTTCCAAGTTGACTATGAAATGAGGGCTGAACAGGTAATTCAAATATAGTGGTCTTTATATTTTTCATTTTTTGGTTTTGCTTTTGTAACTCAGATGTGTTCTTATCTGAAAGGTCAGGTTGTAATTACAAGCTGTTTTAAATGCCAAGTGCCTCAGCTTCTGAACATTTAGGACAGAGAACTTTGAAAGTAATGGACAAACATGTGTCAGTGACTCGAATACCATATTGCTTTCCACATGGAATATACACTTCTCTGAAGGACTCCTAGAGAGAGAGCTGGTTTGGAAATAGTTGTACCAGGTTTGAGTGGCCGAAGCAAGATGGGTCAAAGTCAGAGTGGTGGTCATGGCCAGAGAGGTGGCAAGAAGGATGACAAGGACAAGAAAAAGAAATACGAACCTCCTGTACCAACTAGAGTGGGGAAAAAGAAGAAGAAAACAAAGGGACCAAATGCTGCCAGCAAGCTGCCACTGGTGACACCTCACACTCAGTGCCGCTTAAAATTACTGAAGTTGGAGAGAATTAAAGACTACCTTCTCATGGAGGAAGAATTCATTAGAAATCAGGAACAAATGAAACCTTTAGAAGAAAAGCAAGAGGAGGAAAGATCAAAGGTGGATGATCTGAGGGGGACCCCAATGTCGGTAGGAACGTTGGAAGAGATAATTGATGACCATCATGCCATCGTGTCCACATCTGTGGGCTCAGAACACTACGTCAGCATTCTTTCCTTTGTAGACAAGGACCTGCTGGAACCAGGCTCTTCAGTCCTGCTCAACCACAAGGTACATGCCATCGTAGGGGTGCTCATGGATGACACGGATCCCTTGGTCACAGTGATGAAGGTAGAAAAGGCCCCCCAGGAAACTTATGCTGATATTGGGGGTTTGGACAACCAGATCCAGGAAATTAAGGAATTTGTGCAGCTCCCTCTCACTCATCCTGAATTTTACGAAGAGATGGGTATAAAGCCCCCAAAAGGGATCATTCTCTACGGACTACCTGGCACAGGTAAAACCTTATTAGCCAAAGCAGTAGCAAACCAAACCTCAGCCACGTTCCTAAGAGTGGTTGGCTCTGAACTTATTCAGAAGTACCTAGGTGATGAGCCCAAATTCGTTCGGGAATTGTTTTGAGTTGCAGAAGAACACGCACCGTCCATCATGTTTATTGATGAAATTGATGCCATTGGAACAAAAAGGTATAACTCAAATTCCGGTGGCAAAAGAGAAATTCAATGAACAATATTGGAACTGTTGAACCAGTTGGATGGATTTGATTCAAGGGGTGACGTGAAAGTTATCATGGCCACAAACCGAATAGAAACTTTGGATCCAGCACTTTGCAGACCAGGCCGCATTGACAGGAAAATTGAGTTCCCCTGCCCGATGAAAAGACTAAGAAGCACATCTTTCAGATCCACACAAGCAGGATGACGCTGGCCGATGACGTGACCCTGGATGACTTGATCATGGCTAAAGAAGACCTCTCTGGGGCCGACATCAAGGCAATCTGTACAGAAGCCGGTCTGATGACCTTGAGAGAACGCAGGATAAAAGTAACAAATGAAGACTTTAAAAAATCTAAAGAAAATGTTCTTTCTAAAAAACAAGAAGGCACCCCTGAGGGACTCTACCTGTAGCCACATTTGCCTTCAAGGAGATGGTCAGGAAGCTGCCAGAGGAACCTCATCCAGTTGATCTTTCTTAGCAAACCCCCCCATCCCCCTTTCTGAGCCTGATGTATAGGGCGCCCCCTCAGACTGCCTTCATGTGTCAGCCACGTGCAGTGTTCTCCCCTCAATAAAGCGACTTCCTCCTAAAAAAAAAAAAAAATAGTTGTACCATATAGTTACTTCTCCCCATCCTTATAGTTGTGATTTTTCTATACTTGGCAGGATGGTGTAGTAAAAATAAAAATTAATCTAACTTTTGTAGATTATCTCATTATTATCTCATGACTCATGAGTATAGGCAACATACTCTACCTTACCCAGATTAAAAACATAAAATAACTTTTTACAAAATTTTTTGAAAATGGCATTCTGAATCAATCCACTAGGCACCAGGAATATAACTGAGAGCCATAAGCCTGCAAATCCAAATTCATAAGACAAGGTGCAGACACAATCCAACTAGTACATGCACAGAAGTAAAATTAGAGAGCACTCAACTACTCCCTAATTAAAAATGAAGATTATAGAGGCACGTGGGTGGTTCAGCTGGTTAAGCGTCTAACTTCGACTCAGGTCATGATCTCACAGTTCATGGGTTTGAGCCCTGTGTCAGACTCCATGCTGTGTGGAACCTGCTGGGGATTTTTCTCTCCTCCTCACTCTCTGTTCCTCCCTTCCTTGTGCTCTCTCTGATCTCTAAATACATACATACATACATACATACATACATACATACATACTTTAAAAAATTAAAAAAAGAAAAAGAAAAAATAAATGAAGATTATAGGGGCACCGAACGGCTCAGTCAGTTGAGCATCCAACTTCAGCTCAAGTCATTATCTCACAGTTCATGAGTTCGAGCGCCACATCTGGTTCACTGCTGTCAGCCCGTCAATGCAGAGCCAGCTCCCCATCCTCTGTCCTCCTCTCTCTGCCCCTCCCTCGCTTGCACTCTCCCAAAAATAAATAAATATTTGAAAAAAAATGAAGATTATAAAATGTTTTGAGGTTGAAAGAAATAACTAGAAAAATAAATCAAGCTAGGAAGAATTTTCAAACCATGTGTTACAAAATTTGCCGTTCTACTTCCATGTTCTCTCCTGCCTTCAAAACTTTAAAAACATAAAAACTTTTGAAACATAAGATTTTCTACCCCGTTGATTATTTTCTTGAAGAATGTTATTTTATGTATTATCTTGTTAGAATTATGCTGGATATATTAAAGCAGTAAGATACGACTGTAAGACCATAACAAACACAGAACATATTGTTCATAGGTAGAAAGCAATTAAGACACAGACCCAGAAGTTACTGCAAACCACAGGTCAACACCATGTGGGTAGGTTCCAAGAACACTTCATAATAATTCAGTGTGCACCAGAAAGATTGCCTGTCTCCTAGATGGTGAGGTAGGATTTAGGAGGAAATTGTACCAGTACACAGTGATGCTTCATAGTTTAGAAACAATGGAGCAATTTAAAGCAACAAGTAGTTCTGCATCAAGAAGAAATAATGGGGCAATCTAAAAAGAAAAGCCTGGAAGTAAATTCTAAGACACCTCTCTTGTTCATGTGCTTATCTGATATACTATTAGGGCATAAGCACAATTTATGACCTTGTCATCCCACTATTAGCAAGCAAGTGAAAGAAAGCCATAGCTGTAGTTTAAGACAACATACATTATGGTCTTTACACATTCAGACAGCATCTAGAGTTTATGCAAATTTGCTGAGATCATCTTTGGCACTCTTATACCTTAGGAATTTATCAACTTTCTCATCCTCGAGTATGGTCAGCATATTGAGGCATTTCTTCAGGTGTGTATGTGAATGCATGTTGTGCCCACTTTTATCTGCTGTCTGTACTATCGTATATAATCTGGCTTAAATTCTCTGTGTGAGTGTCTGTGTGTGTAAGACTTAAATGGCTATTGACCAGCTAAAGATAGAAGCCTTGCCTATTAAGCAGGGATGGAAATTTTTATCAAGAGAGCCTGGTTTTCATTTTCAAAACATATTCAGATTTCTAGGATGATGATGGGGCCCAGGTACTGCCTGCTGATAGTAAAGTCCCTGCCAGGTGGAGTTCTGAATTAGATCCATAGGATATTAGGGGCTGCCATTGCTGTCTGTGTTTCCCACCAGACTGGACATCCTAGAAAATACTAAAGAGCTGTTCACAGTGGAGATGAGACAAAGGATTGGGGGATGGATAGTTTAGGGTGGCAATAGTCAGCTTTGAAACCTCTAATTAAAGTGTCAAGTTCTGTAGGTTAATATTGACATAAATATTGGTGATTTCAGTTAAGGCTTTGAACATGTATTAGTGTCATTCCCCAAAGAGGAGAAATATCTGTTGTTTAATAGTGCCATTTTTATATCTAGGACACTAATCATGACATTATTTAGTTTTGTACATTTCTGGATTCTTCTCTTAGGCATGGTTGAACTCCATCAACCGTTTATTATCCTGTGATTCTAAAGCAGATATATGAAAGAGACTACACAAATCCAAATTGTGTGATGTGTGTGTTTTATGTTATTATACACCAGCTAATTAGGTTATCAAATATGATTTTAACATTTTGTTAAGACATTTATGCAGTTTCCCCTTGTCTCTTCTTAAGCCTCTTAAGCCCCTTTGTAGTCTGCTGTAATTTGGTTACTGAGAAGAGGAGTAAGTAATTATATCTCTTACTTCAGGCTGTCAAATTTGAATGGAACCTTGAAAGTCCTCTGGTACAACTCCTATTGCACCGTTCATTGCAAAGCACCCAGATTGCCCATCTTCTTTACTGGTAAGATTAAGTAAAATAGGACAGGATGCCTTTTTTTAAACTGTCAATTTCTCTCCATGGGGCTTTGGAAGAGGTGAAAGATTTCTTACCTTGTAATTGATATAAACCTCCATTTAAAACTCTGCCAAATTTGAGTGTTTGTCAAGGTTATTCTTATTTATGAGTATAATTTAACTGTCATCATCTTCAAAATCTTCCTTTTGTACAGTTGCTCCTGTTTATATTCAATCAGAATTTGGAATTTGGATGATACCTTTCCTGTAGTTTTAAATCACCTGTGCTATTTGTGGTCATATCTATTCATTGAAGATTTCAGGATAAAATCTAGTTATAAGATAGTGGATGTTTGGGAAGAATGTGCGTTTTAAAAGTAATTTTTGTACAATTCAGTAGTAAATAGTGAAGGCTAATATATACTTGGTGTTGCAAATCCCTAGGGCAGTCAACTTTTCTCCAAACATAAACTTTGAATATTGTTAGTGGAGAAATAAAACTTAAGAGATTTCAGAATTTCTTCCATTATCACCTATTCTTGATCCTATTGAATATGATATTCATTAGAGGCCATACTTCCTACTTTTATTACTAAACTCGTGGATTCACCTTCATAAAACTTATAATTACAAATTAAGTAGATCTATCTTTTGTCCTCACATATGTATGGCAGACATCATTTACTAGCTTCAATTGCTAGTGAAGAACGTTAATTAGTAGACAAAAAGTCTAACTTTTGAGTATGTTTTTCTTCAAGGAATGTTACTCATGTTGACATCACTTTTCCCATGAAAATAACTCAAACATTTCATAGCAAAGTAGAGATACAAGAAATTATCAGCCACCAATGTTTATTTTAATGTTCATTTTCGTTTTAAATACCTAATATGAAAAGCAGAACATTTTCCTCTACAATGTCAGTACAGTGAGGCATCAGACGCATGACCAGCACTGAGCCGTTCACTGAATGAAGCTCTGAATGAAGTCTTATTCTCCCCAGGTTTTCAATGAGCTACTACCTAGCTAGGGAAAGTTCAGTGGAGACATTCGGTGGTCTGCTTTCATAGTAAAACTAGGACTCTGTCAAACTCAGTGGTTGTTTCCCTTAAAACTTCACTTTTTTTTCACTTTTCACTTTTTTTAACATGTATTTATGAAAATGAAAGTATATGAAAAAGTAACGTGACCTGGGAATGATCTAGATTTAAATATTTGAACGAAAATATAATAAATATATAGAAATATAATTTTAAAAATATCTTAAAAAATAGAATGAATTAAGGACTTCTTTACTAGAGTAATGACTGTTGTAATACTTGTGCCACCATGGTAAGTCCTTCATTTGCTAAGGTAGAGTGTGAAAATTGGAGTCATTTGAAAGGCAAAGTGAATGAAAAGAAAGTTGTAAATCAATGTCATACTTCCAAGTTCACAATAAATTTAATTATGTTACACTTTCCAAAGAATTGGGAGGAAGGTCTTTCTCTGTATAATTCTCACCCTAATGAAGAAAAGAAAGATAAACAACAAAGCACACTTTGCCTCTCACTGATTCAAAAAGAGAGTAAGATAGAAGAATAGAAAAGAATATAAATTATAAATGAAATGTTTGTTCTTGAGTGTTTATTTGTGAGAGTATGGGAAGAGGAAAATGAAAACAAGAAGGGAGATTTTAAAATCCCTGCATCTTTTGAAACCTTAAATTTAAAACGTATCAGGAAAAATATCCTAAGCATGAAATAATATTAATTGTATTTAAAACATGTCCCAGAGTTTTAAAAAATGGCTTGAACCTAGCATTAAGTTTAGGGAATATTTGTACGTAGAGTGTTTGAGTTAAATGTTAAAGATGCAGCTCAGACCTTCCATGATACACCTAAACAATTAAAAAAAGTAGAGATCCATATAATTTAATGATTCTTTTTTCACTTGGATGAGCTGTCCCTTCCTCAGAGTCAGTATATTCAACACTGAACTCAACATCTTGCCCTGCTCACCCAGGGTTTGGACCTTTCCTGTTCCTCACTAACATGTCCAGTTGTTTATCAAGCCCTGTAACTCCATATCTCCTAAATAGCTCTACCACCTGACTTAAGCTAAGCATTTCTTTATTTAATGTAAAGAATTTAAAATATGTGTTGTTGTTGTTTAATTAGAGTATCAATATGCTATAGGATCTGCCATAAATTGTGCAGCAATACTGCCATCTTTCATACTCTTAAGTCTGAATGAATAAGCTCCAAGAGAAACCCAGTTTGAATCAAAATCTCTGTGGTGGGATGTATTTATAACATGATTCCCTTATAAATTGTTACTTAAGTCATATATTACAAAAATCTGAAAGTGTTCCCTTCAAAGTGAAGGAGAACACTTCCCTCCAAAGTGAGGGAAAGCCTGAGATGTAACTCCCATTTTTCAAACTTTAAGTGCAGCAGTTTTGTTTCTGTACATTACTATTACTAATTTTTGCTAGTATGGTGCATGGTGTTTGCAAAATATTCAATAAATTATTTTTGAATGAATGAATGGGATTAAGTTACTTGGGCCCAGCTATGCACATGCAGACTTGTGACAGAAGGGGGCAGAAGAGAGCTGCTTGAGCAGTCAATCAGACTTGATGCCAAACCAGAGCTGGCAAGGCTAGGGCAGTATCTGGAGATTGACCCAATCAGGTATTAGGCAATGCATATCACTAGTAAAGTCAAGACTGGATTGAAGGGAGACTGAGCAGAAGTCAGGAATTAGGGCCCAAGGAACAAGTCATTGCAGCAATTCCTGCTGGTCCTGAATGACTTAAGGCTATGGTATTTCTGGCACCACAAGGAGTTCCCAAGGTGGCGGTGGCGTTGAAGGATCAAATCCTATGCGCTTTAATATGCCACTCATAAAATTGAGATGATGAAAAATTTTCCCACTCATTTTTCCCACTCATTTTCTAAACACTCTGTCCTAAACTTTTCTCCTCTAGAATTTGGGGGCAATTTCTCAAATGAGGGACTACTCTATAAGAAAGCAAAATAAGGTGGAAATTTTGCATCATGTGATTTGAAGTCACATAGGTCCCTCTCACCCCTTCTCCTAAATATGTCACTCTTGATGCCTGAAATTCTATCCTTAGTGAATCACTCCTTTAGGTTAAGTATTGTTCCCTCCCAGAGGTTTTCTTCTAATGTGGAAATACATATATGCAGAGCATAGTGCTTATGATGAATTAGATTAGCATTTGTTCATTTATGTGACAAACATTGACATACTAGACATCATTGAACTGTTAAGGATAAAACAGCACAGTTCTTGCCTAGACAAGCTCACAGGTTAACAACACAGTAGCATCCAGGCAGCAGGGAAGAGCCCACTGGCTCTGTGGTGGGAAAAAAGTAGAAGGAGAGAAATGACAACAAATATGTCCACCTCACAGTGATCCATTCTAAATATAACCACAAGGTAGAGAGACAGGGCTGGCCATCAAGTAAATAGAAAAGCCTAAACGTGCACTCCCATTCTGTCAGAGTTAAATATCGATACAGGCATACAGATGTATACACAAAAGAGGTAAATGCCCTCTATTTTGGTATCTGAAATGCTCCCTGAAGAAAGAGTAAAGAGCTGTACTTTACAGAGTTATCACAGTGTAATAGAGCACGCATGATACAGAATCAATAAAAGGTTTTAAAGCCTCAGTCCTTTACCTTCTAGAATCATTACATTACTACTAATTCACCTTTTACCATTACAATGTAATGAATAATAAATTATTGCTTTACTTTTTTATACGGGAAAGTTATGGCTTGCTGTCATTTAATATTGATCTCTTATAATCATCTTTCACGTATTGTTCTCAGAAAAGTATACACAGGATAAAATCTCTACTATAAAGCAATTTGCTAAGGTAACAATAGTTATTCTTTACCTCAACCAACCTGAAAAAAGTGATATTTTTAAGAAAGTGTGCATTTTATGTTATAATCCTTAAAATTCACTAGCATAATTTTCTAGTTAAGGAACAGTATGGGAACAGCTGTTTTTTTTCTGTTTTATTTCTATTTTATGTGATAAAATCTTATATAGTTCTTTAAATAAAAATATTTTTAAAACAATGCAATTTTAAATTAATTCTCTTAAATCATTTGTGTTATTTTTTTAAAATACATATGAAATAGAATTTTTGAATTTTATACAAAGTTCTACCTCAAATCAATGCAAAATCTAGGAATAAAGTTCAACCTTGAATTTATCCCTAGTTTATATATTTCCCCTTCAACTTCTTTTATTTTGTTTTTTTAAAAAGTAAAGAGCTGTAAAAATGAACATTTTGTGCATACATACCGACCTCAAATGTTGTAACTTAGACCAAATCTGGCCTTTGGGAATTGAACTTTCTAATCCACTCTCCAACAATTTTTCACTAGAGTAGTCACTGCCATTGTATCACTGCTTCCTTACATAGTAATCTGGTGTCCCTATAATAATACCAGTCTTCCTCTGTCATTGTTTATGCTAAAGATTTGGGGTAAGGCCTTGAAAAACAGCATTACACTGCTTAATTTTCATTGTTTCCCAATCAGAATACAGCCTTATTTTAGCCAATAAAATATGTGGTCAATAAAAAGACATTCTGTTTAGTAATTGTCTTTGTCTTTTAATAATATTTGAATTTGGCTTCCAAAATAAATAGACTAATAAATATTCATAGAATTACAGGATTTGGGAGTTGAATGGAACCTTAGGAATCAACTGCTATAGTACTTTTTTTCATCCAGAAAAGGATTTCAACAAGTGTTTCATCCAATTACAATCATCTGGCTAGCTAAAGAACTGAGATTAAAATATATTTTTAATGACATCTATTGCCCAATTTAGGTCTCTTGGCAATTCAGTATCTACTTCCAAAAAATGTGTAACTCAAAGAATTCATAAAATGTTTGTCTGTCTTTCTATCAATAATTAGGAACTCTTTCAAGTACTAAAGTAGTGGTTTTTCCTTAACTTGAAAGCAAAACTGAAGA